CTGGGTCTGCTCTGTCGCGGTCGGCACTGACAGCACGAGAGGCGGTGCAGGCGGAGCTGGTAGCGAGAGTTGCGGACCAAGCGCAGGGAGAGGTGCCTCGCTAAACGAGGGCAGAGACTGCAAGCTCTTCTTGCTAAGCTTCGAACCCTTTTGCAGCAAGGCATGGTTGCTTCGCAAGGGCAAGCTGTTGCAGAGAAGAAGGAAATCCGCGAAGACCGGTGGCATGACGATCTGCGACGGAGCCGTGTGGAAAAAGGCATTTGGGCACGGCAGCACGCGTGGATCCGCAGGGAGCTCCGACACGAACTCGCTGGACCAAGGGCAGGCTTTGTCTAGGTACAGCCTGGCTCTCGCTTTGCATCGCAAAAACAGATCATGTCCTGTTTGCGGATGGAGCAAAGCCGGTTTCTGGGACAGGTTCACTAGGACAGTGATGACACCGAGGGTCGGCTCTGTGGGGCCCCGAAGGCCCACGCTGAGCAACCACTGCATGAGCAGGTCCAGCTTCACAAACATGCCATCCTCTCCGGTCAGGGTCCGCATCACCGCACCCGGCAAGTATAAGGGCATGGAGCACCAGTCTTGCCGAGGGACCTTGCCGCCTCGCTTCGGCAACCGCAGTCGCTCTTCTAAGGCCGTTCGCAGACGAGCCTTCAGGTGCTCAGGCAGGACGCCGCTCTCCAGGACCTCGGCAGCTCGCAAGCTGTCCTGCACGGTCAGGTCCTGTGCTCGCAGGATGACCTGGAGCAGCTTCGACACGTGGGGCTGCAGCAGGTGTGACTCCGGCCCCAAGACTGTGGCGAGCTGCGTCAGCGCTTTCAGGTGCTCCACCACAAGCACCGCCATCAGTGGCGGCTGCTACACGAGGCAGTGGCAAAGACAAACCTATTCAGCGAGCCTGCACGGCACTGATTTCGGCCCACGCAGGCTTTTCTGACCTATATATACAAACTCGGACAGTGCTTTGGCTTCAGGGGTCTAGGGTTCCGGCTTTGAGGGGAGGCCTCAGCAACGACAGTCTTTCCGAGCTTCAAGCTTTGTGCGGCGGCTTTTGAGACGTTTTAGAGTTCAGGGTTTAAGGTTTATAAGGGTTTAGGGTTGACGGTTTAGGGTTTAGGGTTTAGGGTTTGGGGTTGAGGGTTTAGGCTGCAGGGTTTCTAGTTTAGGGTTCAGGGTTCAGGGTTTATATAGGGTTTAGGTAATAGGGTTTATAGGGTTGAGGGTTCTAGGGTTTAGGGTTTAGGGCTTGATACAGATCTTTTATAAGCAGCCTAGAGCGCGGGACCCTCTCTTTTTGGCGCCACAGTGCTCCTGTAGCTCTCTTCTGGTCCTGCCCGCCGCGGCTCTACGCGCCGCCGTCGAGGCCGCCGTCTGCAGCTGCAACCCTTTCTGTATGGGGAGCGCACTTTCTAGTGCCGCGCACTGCGTGCAGCTGCAACCCGCCGGGGAGCGCACAGCAGCGGGTCCGCCGCGTGCATGCTGCAACCCACGGCAGGGGAGCGCGCACCGCAGCGGCCGGCTGCGTGCAGCAACCCGTAGGCGAGCGCACAGCAGCGGCCGGCTGCGTGCAGCTGCAACCCTTTGCAGGGGAACGCACAGCAGCGGCTCGGCTGCGTGCAGCTGCAACCCATGCCATGGGAGCGCACAACAGCGGGCACGCTGCGTGCAGCTGCAACCCGCGTACGGGGAGCGCACAGCAGCTGCCGTGTGTGCAGCTCGACCCCTGAAGGGGAGCGCACAGCGCGGGCCGCCTGCGTGCTGCTCGACCCCTGCATGCAGCCAAGACCAGACGCTGGAGCCTGCACGTTGCTGCGTCACCCCGAAGCGGGGGAGAGCATGGGCCATGCATCAGCTCCGCTGATTCAGGTCCTGCAAGACCATACTAAACATGGACTGCAACATGCAGCTGCATGTGCCCCCCCCCCTCGGGGGGCGGGGGGCCTGGCCCTGGCCCCTTCCCGCCGCGCAAACCTTTTTCTTGCCGCGGTGCTGCGTGCCGCGGCGCGTGGAGGGCGCCTTCGTCGACGCCGACGCCTTTGTGCCCTCCTCGTAGTAGGCCCCCCACGCTTCGGCGCTGCGCCTTTCAGCCGCAGCTCGGTACTCCTCCTCCGGACGGCCGGGTCTCGCTGCCCTCTCCACCGCCATGAGGTGGAACACACTGTAGCTATGCTGCTGCACAGCTTGTGCTGTCTGAGACACCATGCGCCCACACACGGCACACGCCGCCCTCCCTGTGGGAGTGTGCTGCTGGCTCACGACGGACGCAGCACGCGTGGGGCTGCGCTGTCCTCTGCTGCGCACCGGCGTCCCGCCCTTGCTGCCTGCGAGCCGCAGCCTCAGGAGAGCGGCTCGCTGCTCGCTTGTCGGCCCTGTGGCGGGCGACCGTGGTCGCCTCTGCTCGCTTGTCGGCCCTGGCCCTGTGGCGGGCGACCGTGGTCGCCTCTGCAGCGCCACCGAAACAAACCGCGCCGCCTCGCTGGCGCGCGGGCGGTCCCGGTGCCGGCCTCGGCTCCTGGAGCGCGACCTGTGGCGACGCTTCCGGTCCTTGGAGCGCCTCCTGGACCGCCGCGACTCTTTGCGTCGCTTGCGGTCCTTCTCCTTTTCTTTTTTCTTCTCCTTCTTAGCCGGCGGCTCCTCCTTCCTAGCCGGCGGCTCCGGCGGCTTGGCCTTCGCTGTCGTGCCCACGCCCACCTCCGCCTTCTCTTCCTCCGACTCCTCTTCGAACTCGTCGTCGTCCTCCTCGGAAGAGGAGCTGGAGCTTTCCAAGTCCTGCGACAGCGTGTAGGGGTCTGGGGTTTATAAAGTTTCGAGGGTTTAGGGTTTAGGGTTTAGGGTGTCGGGTTGAGGATTTAGGGTTTAGGGTTGAGGAAAGGTCTCTGCAGGGCCTTCTTGTCCATGGCCTCCGAAGAAGCCGCCGCTGGCTTCCGACGAAGCCTCCGCCCGGGAAGGGCTCTCTTGAGAAAAAACGGCTGCAGACACAGACGTTCACATGCGCACATTCCAACACGCTCACCAAGACATTCACATGCGGACAGTCAAGCACGTCCCTAAGAAACACTTCAAAAAAAAAATCGCTTCTCGCTTCTCACTTTGTCCAGAGAGCACGCAGTATGTGCCGCATCAGTCCATCTCGTCCAGGAAACTCTGTCGTTCCTGATGCCTCTCACCCTGCGAAGCCGCGGCTGTGCTGCTGGAGGGAGTTGTGCTGCTGGAGGCAGAAGCCACA